AATTAGAATGTTAAAACTTTGTATTCTTTATAATATTATTAGAATTATTAATATTCCATTTCATGATCCGTTATTGATTTAATAAGTGTTTCGATTCTCGAGCCGAGTTTATGGTAAAGTTTTCGTGAATCAGAGAAACCAGAGAAATCAGAAATAATTTCGAAATAACGATTTCACTTTGAAAAATCAATGATAACGAATCCCTCGGTATATTGTTTAAAGTTTAACCCGTTTCTTGAGTAGTTTGTATCGCAAGGGAACTTCATCAGCCCTTCTGTTTTTATAACTCTCATTAAACAGGAAGTGATCTCATTTCTTGTAAATCTTTTTCTACGCCATTAAACGAACTACGGCGATGTTTCATCTTTATAAACTCTTTTATCAAAAAGTTGCCGTAACTTTCGCGTGTCTAATTTCTAAAGCTTATCAAAAAATGAACTCTCTCTATTTTTTCTTTCTCTCTCTCCCCCCTTTTCCTTTATACATCCCATAAATCGTTTGCCTTCCAGAACCGCTTCCATTATTCCCAGAAAGAGAGCGCTGTCGGTGCAGTTGCTCGGGTCAGCCGCAAACACTGTTATCCACTTGTCCCGCTTTAATCTTGCAGTACGAGCTCCGCCTCACCGCGTCTGATAACTTGAAAGAAAATTACACGACGGTCGTGATACACGTGAAGGACGTGAACGACAATCCGCCCGTCTTCGAACGTCCAACTTACAAGACGCAGATCACCGAGGAGGACGACAGGACTTTGCCTAAACGAGTCCTCGGGGTAATTATGTCCTTCTTAACTCGATTAAACGAATCTTCCAAAGAGCTTCGCAATTACTAAAGAAAACCAATCCTATCCCACCGCGTGCTCCTTCGATTTCACTTTCCATTCGATCGAGCTTCTATATATTTCGATTTATTAAAACTGAAAAAATTCGGTATGTAAAATTCTCTACTTCGAAGAATATGTGTAAAATATGGATTGATATATGTATATGGAATATAAAATATACAGAATACGTGAAGTACAGAGAGTGGAACGCGAAATGTAAAATGTGCGATCAAAGCACGTAAAAATCACGTATGACGCTCTCCGCCGAAAACAGAAAATGTGAAAACGTGAAAACGCATAGATATCAATTTGTCGTTTTAATGAATCCAGAGTACATATCGGAGGTAGTCCACCGTTGTCAACTCTTTTTGAAACAGGTGACGGCGACCGATGGCGACAAGGACAGGCCACAGAATATCGTCTACTTTTTAACCGGACAGGGTATCGATCCTGACAATCCAGCGAACAGTAAATTCGACATCAACCGCACCAGCGGAGAAATTTACGTTCTAAAGGTGATTAACTTCTCTTCCCCATCTTTCAGTTCAGCTTGCTCCGTTAAAAAAGAGAAAAAAGAAATTCTTTCTCTCTATTCTTCTCTATCCTGCTTGCAAAATAGAGAAAGAGAGGGAAGATATGAAACGATATTATTCTTCGTTCCTTCACATTTTCGATTTTCTCCACGCAGCCATTGGACAGGGATCAACCGAACGGGAGGCCGCAGTGGCGGTTCACGGTGTTCGCTCAGGACGAAGGTGGGGAGGGTTTGGTCGGATATGCCGACGTGCAGGTGAACCTGAAGGATATCAACGACAACGCGCCCACGTTCCCCCAAGGAATTTACTTCGGCAATGTGACGGAGAACGGAACAGCGGGTAACAGCGTCTCGTCTCGTTTTTCTCGAAGAAGATTCAATTTTTCTTTTCCTTTTTTTTTTTTTTTTGGAATAATTCTCGTTGCTTCTGTTCCAGGAATGGTCGTGATGACGATGACGGCGGTCGACTACGACGACCCGAGCGAGGGCACGAACGCGAAATTGATTTACTCGATCGAGAAGAACGTGATCGAGGAGGAGACCGGCTCGCCCATCTTTGAGATCGAATCGGACACAGGCGTGATAAAGACGGCGGTGTGCTGCTTGGACAGAGAACGGACACCGGATTATTCCATACAAGTGGTAGCTATGGACGGAGGGGGGTTGAAGGGTGAGTGGAAAGGTGATGATATAAGGGAGGGGGGAATGAGGGAAGAGATGGTTTCGCTCCATCGAGTTCCCATTCTCTGATATTTCCGCGATATTATGCGTCTAGGGACGGGGACAGCGTCTATACGAGTGAAAGATATAAACGACATGCCTCCGCAATTCACAAAGGAGGAATGGTTCACCGAAGTGGACGAGACGGAAGGGCCAGATCTGCCGGAAATGCCGATACTCACGGTCACTGTACACGACGAGGACGAGACTAATAAGTTCCAGTATAAAGTACGTTGTCCTTTTTCGTTCCATTTCGATTTCTTGGAATAGGATCTTGGAATAGAAAGAAAGAAGAAATCGAATTTTATTTATGATTACGATTTGTGACAGGTGATCGAAAGTAGCGGCTACGGTGCCGACAAATTCACCATGGTGAGAAATAACGACGGCACGGGCTCTCTCAAGATCGTGCAATCGTTGGACTACGAGGACCAA